TATATATATATATATATATATATATATATATATATAGATATGTCTTTTTTTTCTGTTTGATAACATCCCTTTGGTTTATCGTCGTAGAAATGTAAGGATGCATCAAGAATGATCTGACCTACTGTACGTTATGTAGATTGTGAAGAGGGTGGGTCCTAAAACTGAACCTTGTGGTACTCCATTGTTAACAGTTAGAAAACTGGACAAAGTACCATTATGTTGAACACATTGCCACCGATCTGAGAGGTAATCCAGCCAGCCAAACACTTATAAAGCTGAGATTGATTGATTTAATATTTGCAAATAGTTTTCGCTCTACTTGATGAGCTACTTAGCTTTTCTTTCTAATTTGGGGACCGTGCTTTTTTCATATCTGGTCTAATGACGCAAGAAAACAGGGAAAAAAACAACATGTTTAGACTTTAAACATGGTCATTGAACCCAGCTGATAGTTTAAGCACTTTCATCAACACATTTAAAGTTACAAATATAAAAAATATATACATTTCTTCTATAAGTAAAGTTTGAATTGCTTTAAGGTTTAAGTTGCAAAGGATAAAAGTGATAAAAGAAATGTTAATTACGGTGTAATCTGGGTTGATTGATGCAGATAGATGTGTGGGAAACAGCCACTTGAGTCAAGTTCAGTGGAAATCCAGCCAAACTGGACACCAGATATCAAATATTTACTGTGCTTGTAAATAAAAGCAGAAGTTGGGAAAAAAATCTTGTTCCGTGCCGTTTTTTTCCTGCAAAAATCAAACGCACAAACAAACATAAATACTTCATGTTTTATTATTTGTAAAAGAGAGTAATCTTCCTGAATTAGCAAACTGTACATACATAAATAACATTTATTTTTTGCTGTGATTCTTGCATCTCACGGAGGCAAAATGATTAGGCGGTTATTACAAAGCACACTACGCTAACGTCACAGCCTTCTTCGACTAAAACACGACCGACCAGTGATTGCTTGGCTTCAGGAGGGTTTCAAGTGCATGCTCAAACAGAAAGATAAAAAAATAACTGCCTCCTTTTTAGAGGCTTATTCAACAAAAATATACAGAGCGAACGACGGAGAGCAAGTTTGTGGATTTAAATCGTTTCCCCGTTAGTTAAATACTGAATTTAAAAAGAAAACGCACAACGAGAAGTCGTGTCTGTACCTTAATCAGTTAATTAAAAGCTCAGGTCTTTTTTTCCTTTATCCTCACTTCATTTTTAAAATCAGGCAGGTTCTTA